TGGTCCCCAGGTCCCTCTGCTCTCCTATAAGCCGCACGGTTATGTGGACATGACTGTGGAGACGAAGTCCATCCCCTCGTTCGCTGATATCCTCTGGGTGTTTGAGGATGAGGGGGAGAGTTTCGCCAAGACCAGGTACGGACACAAATAGACACAGGACTAACTCAGACAAGGTCATGTTTCCCAGTGCAGAAAACCATATATAGAGAATAATTCAAAAGTTGTTCGGTGGTTTATTGCATTATTACACCCAACAAAGGTGTAACCCCCTAATCCCACCAGGAGCGTCTGCGCTGCGGCTGCGGCGTTTTTAGCGATCGCGGCCACTCTAGTCAATGGGTGCTATTCCACCAGACACTCTGCGCCGCGGCTCGAAGCGTCCCAGAAGCTCCTCGCCGCAAGGAATTTCTAAAATATAGGATGAATCCTATTTTTGACGCGGCGCAGCGCGGCGCAGGCAGGAAGTGGAATGTTCATCCAACAACTGCGAGGCTGCACACACGACGCTCCGCTTCCGCAACGTTTTGAAACGCGCCTGGTGGGTTAGGACGCAGGAGGAGGTCGCAGGAGGAGGTCGCAGCGCGGCGCAGCCGCAGCGCAGACGCTCCTGGTGCGAATAGGGGGTTACACTCAGCTAGTGAAATCAACTGCGCTGTTTTATCGTACTCAAAATAATTTGGTCACTACTTTCAGATGGCAACATTTTCCTTAATGTGTTTAGGGCATCTTGAAAACTGTTTACCTCTATTTTTGCCATAGAAATGTATCGATGTTTGTATTTTGCAGCTTTGAAAACACACATTTGGATTTGATTATTTTGAGTGGATGTTAAATATTACACTGATGCATTATCTCCATAGGAACCATTTACTTCCGAAGAAGCAAAGTACTCTAAATCGGGAAGTGTTGAGGTACCCGCCCCAGAGTAAAGCCCAGAGAGGAGGCGGTCCTGTGAGGCAGACCACCGAGCCGGACGCCCTGCAGAAGATCACAGCGCTGGAAAGTCAGCTGCTCAAACTCCAAGCTCAGATAGCCATGATCGTTACCGCCGCTCCAGCCTCAGGTACGCACTCTTTGTACCTCTACTTTTCAAAAAACACACAAACACATGGGGCATGATGTCGTGGTAATAGTACTAAGATCGTTTACTTAAGTAAAAGTAATAATAGGAGAGTCTAGTGGACTCCTATCTCCGGGTGCTAGTGGAGCCTCGCAGATGGGGGTGCTGCAGCCCCCTCAGCACCCCCCTTCCCGCGTCCATTCGCGATATCTCGCAGACCCCACGCAGCAAGCGGGAAATGAACCCAGCTCACACGGTCCGCTCCTTGCAGCAGCGAGCCACGAGCCGCGCAACGTCCCGCCAACACGGCACCCAGACCGCACGCAGCATTCGCATCTGTTTGTCATTACTGGTGTCATTTTCTGGTTGCTAACGCCATTGTAACACATAATCACTTATGTTCCGCTGTAACGGTGGTAGACTCATCAGAACAGAGTGGGCGAGCTGACCAATCGGAGCACAATGGGCTCATGGGGAGGGGGGGGCAGGAGCTCCAACAAGCCGTTTAGGACAGAGCATGTGAATGTATACTATACAGAGATGCTGTATGAGAAACCAATGTGAGTTTGGAAAATTGCCCAATATAAATCTATTCTAGTAGACCTCAACAATGGAATTATGATCAGTAGAAATGGCCATGACATGGGACCTTTTTAAAGTATCGAATATAAATACTCATTATGCAGAATGGCTCTTGAAGTTTTTGTTGTGTGTGTATATATATATATATATACACATATACACAGTATCATATAAACACATCATGTTATTATTTTTTTAAGTAACTGCAAATATAAAAAATAATTGGTTAAAAAAGGAGTAGAAGTATAAAGTGGCAACAAATGTTAATAATAAAGAAGAGTGAAAGTACTTAAATTGTACTCAAGCACTTGAGTAAATGTACGTGGTTACATTCCACCACTGTTGGCATGTTATACGCGTGAATAACATACTTGTGTTATTTCAATGTGTTTAAGGTCTGTCTGAGACCCAGAGTACCCCGGGCACTCCTCTGATGTCTCCGCCCCCCCTCACCTCCACGCCTCGCTGCTCTGCTCCTCCTCCCCCTCCTCCTCCTCCACCCCTACCTCCCCCTCCCTCGTGCCCTGGCTCCACCGCTGAGTCCTCGTCTGTCGTAGAGCTGATCCGCCGGCGGAGGGACAACGACAAAAACCTCGACAAGGGTCCACTCAAACCCCAGGACTCAGACGTTAAAGGGACGCCGTCCATGCTGGATGTCCTCAAGGACTTAACTCAAGTCAAACTGCGCTCGGTCAACAGGTGAGCAACCGAAGCCTTAAAAACTGTGAAATCTACCTCTAAAATCCAAGGTATATGCTGTAAAAAACATGTTTTGAATTGAAGTACAACATGCACATTTTTCTTTTTTATATTTTTATTCTATTTTATAATTTAGTTAGACATACTTTTAACTTCTTAGGTTTATATAATTATGTTTTTTTTCATTTAAAAAAAAATCTTTTTATAGCACATTCTTACTTCTGATGTTTATATTAACATTTGTATTCAATTAAATATAAACAAATATGTATATTTTATTTAATTTCATTCTAAAATGGAGCAACTGCAATTTAATTTCCCCCGGGATAAATACAATATTTGGTTTCTGATTGTTGATTGATTCTGAATATGGGTGTCCCATATTATAACAATATCCTACAATATGATAGTTTATGTCCCAATGTGGCAGAATGTTCTGTAAGTACCCATCGTTTGTCTTATTTTAGATTTCTTTTTTCTGTGTCTCTAAAACGTTCCTCCTCTGTCCTTCTTAGATCCCCGGGGGGCACTCCGGTCAGAAGGCGGCGCAGTAAGGGAGGCCCCGCTCTGCTCAGTGACCCAGCGGCTCTTATCGCTGAAGCGCTGAAGAGAAAGTTCGCTCAGCATCGCCACAACGACTCCTCCGACAAAGAGAACTCACTGGAACTCTCGCCGTTCGGCAGCCCAGAAATACCCAAGGTTAGATTCCCATAGACGCACTCCTCACACTCCCACACACACCTCTGTCAGCAGCTGTAATAATCCATTGCCTCTGTTTCAGATTCCGGTCCATATCAGACGCAGCCAGGGCCGCCTCCACCTCTGATCCTGCTGATCGGACCCCAGAACGTCTGACACCCACTCCTCTGATTTTAGCTCCCACAGATGTACCTCTCCAACAGATTGCAGCTACTGACTTATTTTCGTTTTTATTTTCTGTTTGTCTAATATATTGTTCTTGTAAGAGACTTTATCTCACAATGAACTTGTTTCTGTTACGTTTGTCTTTGCTGGGAAGCTTGAATGTATATTTGTGTTATAGCGATCGCTGTCAAGGGATTTGGTACAGTTTTGCAAAAGTACAGTGGAATGTTATGTTTTCAGTGTTGTTCATACAGTATTTGTATGATATATTTTTAAAACAAAATAATGTGTCTGGGCAGGAATGCACCGCTGCTTTTAATGTCTCTAAAGTCCCATTGTAAGGCCTTTTATAGTTCCTGATTTAAACAAGTGAAATTAATAACGGGTCATTGAGATTCACCAGCTCTATTCTATGCAACTGCTCTTTCATTTTTATAATAAAGTTTTTAAGTGCACTGATACATTTTGGTTCTTCTTTTCATGTTTTCAAATATATCGGTTTGTACATTTTAAAGGTGGGGTAGGTAAGTTTGAGAAACCGGCTCGAGATACACTTGTTGTTATATTCCATGGAATGCTCTTAACATCCCGATAGCAATGAATATATTAAGTGCTTTGACAAAAAATCCATAAAAAATGTCATCTGTGGAAGCCGTAGTACTGTAAAAAGCACGACCAATCATTTTAGCCGGCCCGGCTAAAGTAACTGGATGGCCTACCTGCCTGTCAGCCTTCCATCTGTGCACAAACTTACCTCGTGCCCTCATTGGTCATGTGCGCGTTCGTGTGTGTTGGAGGAGGGGCTCTGTAAGGAAGTGGCAGATTTGTACCGGCTGTGTATTTTCAAATTCTAGCGCACTCGAGCTGGTTTCTCCAAAATTACCTACCCTACCTTTAAATCCAGTTTTAGTTGAAATGTATAACTTTTTTAACAGTTTGCTTTAAATCAAACTGCAACAAAGATCAGTCATTCTCGTGCAGGTGATGTCATTTTACATTGTTATTATTGTTACATTATTAATGGATACTTCAGCTTTTTAACTACTGTGTTAATAACACTGTTTTTCTTAGTTACGTTTATTTTATTTTTAAGTTATTTATTTATATGTACCATTTCTTATTGGTACAGAGCAGTACATTGTTTTCCATGTTTCTAGTGTAGCATCTGAAACATTATTAAATCACGTGCCCTTTTTCTTTAATGTAGCATTTACTTTAATTATACTATTCATACTTCAGCTCTTTTGTTTAGGCTGTAATTATAGCAATTGCCAGTAGGGGGCAGAGTAAGCTATTTGTGGCACGTTACTGCAAGTGAGTCTGCAGAAGAAGACCAGTGTGAGCGCATTGGTTGCTGTCTGATAAATGTAAGTATAAACTGTAGCTATAGATTAAGCTATATTATAGTGACACTTCTGATCAGAGCTGTTCAAAACCTCTATAAAATATAGTTTAGTGTATCAATTGTTTTTTACTGACATCTTACCTTCTCATTTAAGGTTTTTTCGTTCCACACCACAGTGAGTATACTGATTAATAAACAAAGTTATAGCCTGCCCTAAATTAAGAAAGTCATGTATGTTAGTGTAAACCTGTTTTTTTAATTTTTTTTTAATTGGATCATTTATCTCATAACAATTGTTTTTTCTGCTCTCAATTTACACTGACCCCGGATCTGTTGCTGTTCACTGATGATGACAAGGTGAGGATTGAATAACTTTGAATCTACATTGTTTATTTAAGCTAGTACATCATGGTATCACAAAAAAACAAAGAACCAACAATTATGTACATCTTCATTATTTTTCAGTTTATCTATGTGTAGTAGCTACACTTCTCACACACATCTTTGTTGTTGTTTGTCCTCACAACAGGGGACTGTTTCCAGCAGCATACATACTAAAATTATTTAACACATTTAAAATAACTTAAAGGTTTTGGATAAAAAACTTAAATAGAAAAAACACCTGTCAGAAGTGCAGAGATGGCTAAAGTAGACACATCCTTTACTCAAATAGAAGTACAGAAGCTCATTGAAGCTGCCATTCAAACACTGTTGAGTACCTTGGGGTACTTGTACTACTAGTACTCGTCTACATTCTGTCCAACCCGGCACTCGAACCAGCAGCGTCCAGATTGGAAAGGTCGCACAGTACTACAGAGAGAGAGGAAAAAAAATCTGGTTATTTATTTGTTATTTCTTTGGTAATATCAGATATTAATGATATATTAATGATATATATGATATTAATATCTAAAGACACACATTGATTGAACAAATGTGGCAGAGGCCTCTATCAGAAACATGGGTGGTTACATAGAGAATTAAAAAAGGCAGTACAAACTCATACAAGGTCAAAAGTTTGGTTACAGAATTGGATTTACTATATTTCAAAAAATACTGTGTCTGAATGATCAGCTTCTTAACAGCATCTGTACCAAACTATACATCGCTGCCCACCTGTAGGGGCCTTCTCCAGCAGCATGCTGCGGCACCGCATCCTGGCCATGCAAGAAAAAGAGAAACAAAACCCTTAACATGCGCTCCATAGAAAAGTTCAAATGAAAGCACTTGTATTTAAATAGATTTTGACCCTACACTTTCGAATGTTTCATCACCGTAGACGACCACTGGAGGAAATCCATCCGCATTGTCCACACACCGGATGGGAAGCTGCAGAATCATCAAAAAAGGATTTTGATGATGAAATGTGTCATATACTTCTAGCTTTAACAATGTAAACACAAATTGCTTTAACTAATTATCAACTCATGTACACGCTATCAATGCTAAAACTTTGTAAACTCCAAAACTTGTACTACTAGCACTCGTGTACATTCTGTTCTTCGTCCAACCCGGCACTCAAACCAGCAGCGTCCTCATTCTCATAACGGTCAGGTCGGAAAGGTCGCACAGAACTACAGAGAGAGAGGAAAATAATGTGTTTTTTTGTTATTTCTTTGGTAATATCAGATATTAATGAGAATATAACTAAAGACACACATTGATTGAAGAAAATACAAGTAGATCACATTAAGTTGTAGCAGATGCCTCTATCACAGGGGTGTGCCATTTTGAATCGGCCCTCACTCAGCAAATTAAAAAAGTATAATGACTTAAGTATAATAAACTTCTGCTTGTCTTATATTGTACTTCTTAAATATATATGTTCAAATATATTACACAGTATTCATGTGTTAATAAGCCCACTTTTCAAATAAATCAGTAAATAAAGTTGAAAACATGTTCTAACTAATCTAAGTTGATAAGAAAAAAGCCCAATAACAAATTTAGATAACAAGCTTGAAATATACCCTTCATATGTCCTCTTCTTATAAGCAATCTGAGGCTCCTGTTTTAAGGGAAAACATGTATAACAGAACTTATGAGGTAATAAACCTCACCTTTAGTGAGTGGCCCAGCCCTTCTTATATTTTTCTGTATGTGGCCCTCAGTGAAAAAAGTTTGGACACCCCTGCTCTATCAGAAACATGGGCAGGTACCTTTACAGTCTATGGTAGGTACATACAAAATAAACAAAGGCAGTAAAAATACATACAAGGTCAAAAGTTTGATTATAACCAGTTACAGAATTGTGTTACATTTGATTTACTATATTTAAATAAACCAATATAGAAATGTGTTATATCTAAATGATCAGCTTCTTAACAGCATCTGTACCAAACTATCCATCGCTGCCCACCTGTAGGAGCCTTCTTCAGAAGCATGCTGCGGCACCGCATCCTGGCCATGCAAGAAAAAGACAAACAAAACCTATAACAAGCGCTCCATCGAAAAGTTAAAATTAAAGCACTTGTATTTAAATAGATTTTGAGCCTACACTTTAAACTAAATGGCGAAAAAACATACTTGTTGATAATAAAAGTCGAATGTTTCATCACCGTAGACGACAACAGGAGAAAATCCATCCGCATTGTCCACACACCGGATGGGAAGCTGCAGAATCATCAAAAAAGAATTTTGATGATGAAATGTGTCATATACTTCTAGCTTTAACAATGTAAACACAAATTGCTTTAACTAATTATCAACTCATGTCCACGCTATCAATGCTAAAACTTTGTAAACTCCAAAACTTGTACTACTAGCACTCGTGTACATTCTGTTCTTCGTCCAACCCGGCACTCAAACCAGCAGCGTCCTCATTCTCATAACGGTCAGGTCGGAAAGGTCGCACAGAACTACAGAGAGAGAGGAAAATAATGTGTTTTTTTGTTATTTCTTTGGTAATATCAGATATTAATGAGAATATAACTAAAGACACACATTGATTGAAGAAAATACAAGTAGATCACATTAAGTTGTAGCAGATGCCTCTATCACAGGGGTGTGCCATTTTGAATCGGCCCTCACTCAGCAAATTAAAAAAGTATAATGACTTAAGTATAATAAACTTCTGCTTGTCTTATATTGTACTTCTTAAATATATATGTTCAAATATATTACACAGTATTCATGTGTTAATAGGCCCAATTTTCAAATAAATTCAGTAAATAAAGTTGAAAACATGTTCTAACTAATCTAAGTTGATAAGAAAAAAGCCCAATAACAAATTTAGATAACAAGCTTGAAATATACCCTTCATATGTCCTCTTCTTATAAGCAATCTGAGGCTCCTGTTTTAAGGGAAAACATGTATAACAGAACTTATGAGGTAATAAACCTCACCTTTAGTGAGTGGCCCAGCCCTTCTTATATTTTTCTGTATGTGGCCCTCAGTGAAAAAAGTTTGGACACCCCTGCTCTATCAGAAACATGGGCAGGTACCTTTACAGTCTATGGTAGGTACATACAAAATAAACAAAGGCAGTAAAAATACATACAAGGTCAAAAGTTTGATTATAACCAGTTACAGAATTGTGTTACATTTGATTTACTATATTTAAATAAACCAATATAGAAATGTGTTATATCTAAATGATCAGCTTCTTAACAGCATCTGTACCAAACTATCCATCGCTGCCCACCTGTAGGAGCCTTCTTCAGAAGCATGCTGCGGCACCGCATCCTGGCCATGCAAGAAAAAGACAAACAAAACCTATAACAAGCGCTCCATCGAAAAGTTAAAATTAAAGCACTTGTATTTAAATAGATTTTGAGCCTACACTTTAAACTAAATGGCGAAAAAACATACTTGTTGATAATAAAAGTCGAATGTTTCATCACCGTAGACGACCACAGGAGAAAATCCATCCGCATTGTCCACACACTGGATGGGATGCTGCAGAATCATCAAAAAAGTATTTTGATGATGAAATGTATCACATACAGTGGGGCAAAAAAGTATTTAGTCAGCCACCATTTGTGCAAGTTCTCCCACTTAAAAAGATGAGAGAAGCCTGTAATTTTCATCCTAGGTATACCTCAACTATGAGAGACAAAATGAGAAGAAAAAAAAAATCCAGAAAATCACATTGTCTGATTTTTAAAGAATTTATTTGCAAATTATGGCGGAAAATAAGTATTTGGTCAATAACAAAAGTTCATCTCAATACTTTGTTATATACCCTTTGTTGGCAAGGATTTGCAGGATTTGAGTCCCTGGCGGTGTAGTGTGTTACTGATGGTAGCCTTTGTTACTTTGGTCCCAGCTCTCTGCAGGTCATTGACTAGGTCCCCCTGTGTGGTTCTGGGATTTTTGCTCACCGTTCTTGTGATCATTTTGACCCCACGGGGTGAGATCTTGCGTGGAGCCCCAGATCGAGGGAGATTATCAGTGGTCTTGTATGTCTTCCATTTTCTAATAATTTCTCCCACAGTTGATTTCTTCACACCAAGCTGCTTACCTATTGCAGATTCAGTCTTCCCAGCCTGGTGCAGGTCTACAATTTTGTTTCTGGTGTCCTTTGACAGCTCTTTGGTCTTGGCCATAGTGGAGTTTGGAGTGTGACAGTTTGAGGTTGTGGACAGGTGTCTTTTATAACGAGTTCAAACAGGTGCCATTAATACAGTTAACGAGTGGAGGACAGAGGAGGCTCTTAAAGAAGAAGTTACAGGTCTGTGAGAGCCAGAAATCTTGTTTGTTTGTAGGTGACCAAATACTTATTTTACCGAGGAATTTACCAATTAATTCATTAAAAATCCTACAATGTGATTTCCTGGATTATTTCCCCCCATTCTGTCTCTCATAGTTGAAGTGTACCTAGGATGAAAATTACAGGCCTCTCATCTTTTTAAGTGGGACAACTTGCACAATTGGTGGCTGACTAAATACTTTTTTGCCCCACTGTAAATGATACAGAGGCGTAACGTCACTACCTGTCTAAAAAGACCTTAATGCAAGCACCATTGAATAAACAGTAAACAAATCCAGAACTTATCTAAATAAGATGTCCACTTTCTATCAACTCCAATTTAATCCCAAAAAGTCATATTTGTATTTGTGCACTTTTAATTGTCCTAAAATGAACTGCTTTGAACTCAGATTAACTTAACATTTATTGGAGACTGAAAACAATCTCTTCCTGTTGTCCTTATATATATATATATATATATATATATATATATAAATATCCCAAACAAACCCAAAGGCTTTCCTGTGGCGGTGATAACCAGGCATCAATAAACACCAACAAAATGAGGTGATTGTAAGACCTGTGTGTTCCTCTTCGCATGCAAATCATAGAGGATGTACTGTTACAAGCATTGCATTTTTCCATGGAAATATTCCCTTGAGAAAAAGTGTACCTAGGATGAAAATTACAGGCCTCTCATCTTTTTAATTGGGAGAACTTGCACAATTGGTGGCTGACTAAATACTTTTTTGCCCCACTGTACTTCCCATATTTCCAAACTAAGCTTAACAATGTAAACGCCAATTGCTTTAACTAATTATCAACTCGTGTACATGTTAGCAATGCTAACGCTTTATACGGTACAGAATGAAACAATACACCAAGTGAATCCCCATCCAAATACAAACAGTAACTACTCAAACTGAACAACTTCCACATACTTTACCAACTACTTTGCAAATGTATGATTATTTAATCCTACAATCTTTTAACTTACGTGAAGCGACACCATTATAGCTCCTTGTTGTGTTCGGGCTTTCGGAACGTGATTTGTTGCACCACGCGAGACTTGCGAGACTTGCGAGACTTGCGAGAGTTGTATCCGATGTTATATAAATTATTGTACAGCAGTGTTGAAACCTCCAAAATGTTATTTATTATAAAAAGAGGAATATTTAGATTTATCCAACAAACATGAGACATAAGCCATTTATAATTTTTAAAACAACCCTCATTGGACAAGAGAACCTCTCCCTCTATTAGAAATACCAAAACTACTTGATGTTGACTGCACTTTTACGCAGTACTTCTATCAAATACAAAATGTGTTAATTTGAATTTCTCCTCCTAAAGTTTTCCAACTGTGAGTTAGACCTCTCGGGGGTCTAATTGATCCCAAACATTTGTAACATTACCATGTAACATAGCATACTATACATTTATTTGTACATACAATCCTTTTTGCCAAAAACATAGCATACCTTTTTCTTGATATCCTTGAACAAATCGACGATTAGACAATCCCTTCATTCGTGTTGGTCTTCTTCAGTCTAATGATCCAATTGAGAGAAATGACCGATAAGTCATTTTCCGGGATGTTGAAAATCACTACTTCAGCAAATACGTTCGTACTTCTCCAGAGCAATTCAAAGATGAGCAAATTCATCAGTTTCAGTTCTGTATTTGAACTTCCCAATGGCGATCATGACATCCAACTCTCTGCATCTAAACACAAGCACATTGAGAAAACAGTTTGACTACAAGAGGAAACACATTTGCCTTTATGGAAATCTCTTCTATGTGGACATAATTAGATGTCCTCTGTTGAAGTCAAACTTCCTGTCCAGCCAGTTTTTGTGTAAGATACAACATTTGGAGAAAACACACCCTGTTGTTTTTACACACATAGGGAGGGTATACATGCACACACATGCAGATAGGAGAGGTGGCAGAGCAGTTTCGAGGTTTGGTGCCTTGCTCTACCAGCTCACTCCATATTTTTTTGGTCCGATCGGGACGTGAACCCGCGACCCTTCAGTTCCAAGACCAAGTCCCTACAGACTGAGCTCACAACTATAAGCAAAAGCTTTGTATCCAAACTAGTAAAAGTGAATGTTACTAAACGCTCGTAATAATTGAGCAAAAAGCATCAATGATGCAATACAAAGTTCTCAATGTGTTTTGCCAATCCATGGAGAATTTCACAATATGATTCTGTTGTTTTAACTGTTGTCCCTGTGACAAAAACATGTGGTTTATATTGAAAGGCCAGCAACATTTTGTGTTATTGTTAGAGGTGTAACAATGTGTAGTAGAAAGCCCCTTGCTCTAAAACTACATTACTGAAACTCTGACAGCTGGTGAAATAACACTGCTAATTTGTAATCTTCAAGTGTGGCATTGGCATTTATTTTGCCATGACTTGTCTTATCTGGATACGGAGGGTGTTTCTCAATCTCGAGTAAAGCTGCTCCAGAGCCACTATTTCAAGCATACTACGTCATCGAGTGCCGCCGAAGGACTGTTCCAATGTCCAGCATACTTGGAATTCTACCGAGCCCGGCGTACTTCGTTTGGAGAAATTTCGAGGCTGCACATGTGTAGACTCCGCGGTCTTAAAATCCCCACAATGCTTTGCGCACGGACCAATTTCCCCAAATCTGTGGCGGAAAATGTAATGTGGGGCCTCTCATATGATGCACACCTGCACACTTGCTCGCCTGTTCCACTCTTCGTTTTCCGAATGCCAGGAAGTGTTCTTGCCTCTCTTCTGAAGCAAGACGCTCGGAAGACATGTGCTACCAAGCAAGCATACTCGACATTGAGAAACACCCGGAGTCTTAGTCAGCTGCCACATCAACTCAAATCTCGACAGCCCAAGTCCCAGTGCCCCCTAGCCTCATTTTCCCACCAATTAGCAACCGCCGTTTTTATGAAACATAGAAGCTTCAGACATTCATAAGTGGGGTATTTACTGCCATATTTTGCTCGGCACGCTTAAAGAGAGCTCCGTGCTATAATGGAAATGCGCCATTACACTACAAGACAGGCCGGGGCTTGTCATGCTAACATGCTATTTTCCATACCAGTCTCTTTAAAAATCTGTTGATCTTGTTGATTTATTTTTCTATGTTATAAAGTTCTAGAAACATCGCACCTTTAGTTATGTTCATTTCTGCCTAAAATGTTTAGACTTAGCCTACATGTCCAGTGGCGTTTTATATGTACAAAAATGGTGGGGCACGAACAATTTAGATGTTTATATATAAGCTTCTGGTGCTTTTTTAAACACGTAAACATATAGCTGTAGGCTATCCATGGTAGAGAGAGTGGGGGGGAGCAACGCTGTCAGCGCATTCATTTACGTACACAGCGTGGGGATGTCATATTGTAATGCACCTTAATACATGCAGTAAAGGGCACCATCAAAAAGCAATACTTAACAATAACAACAACCGTAATGCCTCAGCATTAAAACACCATAGACTGTAAATATGAGGAAAACACAGACACTCATCACCGAGGTCACAATATCAATCGATCCAGCAGAGCAATAGCCTATAGGCAAAACCCAGAAGATCAACAAAATATTTGTCATAAAATGAACTTACCAAAGCTGAAGTAGATGGTCAACTTCATTCATTCACTTTCCGTTTTACTGATGTTAATCGCTATAAACTGCTCTCTCTCGTCTCCTCTACACTTTTCGCGGCACACGTACTTACAGCCAATCAGCTCTGAATTATGAGATGACGTTTTGGTGGGGTTGCCAGCACTTTGCCCCACTTGTGATTTTTTTTTGCCGCACACATTGAATACAAAAAGACTGAGCATGCGCAGTGTAGTTTTTACAGCACAGGTTCATTTCTACAGCGAGAGAGAGGGGCAGCCCGGGGCTTGCCCCACATCGCTCAACGCGGCTCAATAGGCACACTGTGGACACTAATCAGAAGAATGCAGTACGAAGCAGCAATGTAGAGACCGCTAAACATGATCTTAAAATATATTTTAACATTTATTTTATACATATTTTTGGAATCATTATTTGTATTAATTTCTGCAGCCCCACCTGCTGTCAGCAGAAATTGACGAGTCGCCACAGTACATGTCCTTGTAACAGATGTTAGCATTACATTTTCTTTTTATATATACATCGGTTTTTTTAAAGTCATCATGTTATTTGAAACATTACATGAAACCCTTTTCTTGTGGGTATTTAATCTCTGATTACTTAATGTGTATTAGACTTTGTTGTAATTATTACAGATAATCTCAAAATAATGTCTCATACAATTATTATACTATTTATTTTTAAGACAATACTACCTGGAAAAAATAAAAGTATGTATCTTACTCTTTCAACAATTATCAAAAATCATTGTTGAGAGCACTTTTTACCCACCACTACTCTAAAATGATTCTATTTGATTTTACCTCACTGAATAATTTTCTAAAAGCCAGTTGTCAAATGTCTTTAAGGTCTAATTTACCTAAAATGATAATAAAACTATTGCCTACATGATTGTCTGTAAATTACTTTACCCCAAAAGATTGGCCTACCTTTTGCATAAGATCCGTACAAAATGTTGATTAGACTTTCCCGTTCATGTTGGTCTTCTTTTGTCAAGTGTCTCAACTGAGAAAAATTCCAGATCAGTAACGTGGTTATGATTCATACCATCTAAACTCATACACACCCTAAATAGAGGATAAGTAATAGTCTGGAATAAAAATAATGTTGTGTACTTCCTCAAATACTTTTACACAGACTGTTAAGGGTCAGCCAAATCCGTTGTTCTTAACCCTCAAATTGTTAGGCAAACAAGATTCAAGAACGTACAATTTGATAATTATTTCGTAGGAAATGTTGATAGTGTATAGCAGGGGTCAGCATCCTTTTTGATATGAAGTGCCATTTTTTATCAGCGTGCCGACGATCGTGAATTATCAACGGGGGGTGGGGAATGAGGAGCTTGACGCTCGTGAACTGTCAACAGGAGGGCGGGGAAGCATTGTATGGACCTGTCAGCGCAACTTACATGATGCCGAATTTAACAAACAAATTTAAATAATTGGTTTAAACGGCATAATAATAAGGACGATCGTCCGTTCTGTGATTCTCCAGAACGCAGATGGCCAGTCCGCCCCTTTGTAGCATATTATTTAGATGAGAGATGAGCAGATCGCCACTGGGCTTTCAACTAAAGACACAGCCACGCAAAAACTGCGGCATTTGTACAGCATGGCTTCCTTCTGCAGGCCCCTGGCACGCTGCCAATGGTGGCACGCGTGCCAGGGGTTGCAATGCCGACCCCTGGTGTATAGGTAGTAGGGATGTGCATCTCAATCACTGAGGCCGATGTGATGCGTATCTCGATACGTTTCCACGATACGATACATTAACAATTAGGGATGTAACGATACCAAAAGCTCACGGTACGATAATATCGCGATAACAAGTCCACGGTACGGTATTTATCGCGATATTGAATAATAAAGGGGAAAAAAAAAAATATTTACTCAGAAAATGTTTCTTTATTAAATAATAAATCTGATTTGTACAGCATTTTAGTAGGATAGCAGTATTTTAAAGTGTCAAAAACAAAGTGACAGTAACAGACTGGAACAAGAAAACCAGTGTTTTTGTACCTATAGTAGGCCTACTACCAAACAAAGTAGGCATTTTCTTTGTGCCACTGCATCTCACAAATAAACAAGGACATTTAATAATCAGACCCTGCAATAAAATAAATCAAGTTTCACTTTAGTTTTTCAAGTAACTCAACTCAAACTCACTAGTCACTCACTCAGCATCATCAGACAGGTTTTTAGGAATATGAGAATGTCCACATTTCCAGGTATTTATAAGCTGGGATGTTTGGGCATTTACAATATCCCCTGCTCTGGAAAAAACTCTCTCGCTTGGTACTGATGCTGCTGGGACAGCAGTGGTCGCATTAATCAAATCCTGGGGCCTCTTCTCTTTAACATCTACATGCTACCACTGGCTCAGATAATGAAAAACGACAAAATAAGTTACCATAGCTATGCGGATGACACACACATTTACGTAACAATTTCACCAGGAGACAATGCTCCAATTTAAACACTGAGTAAGAGCATTGAACAAATCAATGACTGGATGTGTCAGAACTTTCTCCAATAAAACAAAGATAAAACTGAGGTAATGATTTTTGGAGCCAAGTCAGAACGTAAGTAAAAAAAAAGTTAGCGCTGAGCTTCAGTGTGCAATGTTCAAAACAACAGATAAAGCCAGAAATCTAGGTGTAGTCATGGACTCTGACCTGAGTTTCAACAGTCACATTAAAACAGTTACTAAATCAGCCTACTATCACCTAAAGAATATATCTAGGATTAAAAGACTAATGTCACAGCAGGATTTGGAAAAACTTGTCCATGCTTTTATCTTCAGTAGACTTGACTACTGCAATGGTGTCTTCACAGGTCTCACTAAAAAATATATTAGAAAGCTGCAGCTAATTCAGAACGCTGCTGCTCGAGTCCTCACTAACACTAAGAAAGTGGATCACATCACTCCTGTTCTGAAGTCTTTACACTGGCTTCCTGTGTGTCAAAGAATAGATTTCAAAATACTGCTGCTGGTTTATAAAGCACTGAATGGTTTAGGCCCAAAATACATTTCTGACCTCGAGGCTCCTGCTAAATTATGAACCATCCAGATCTCTCAGGTCTTCAGGGACTGGTCAGCTTTCTGTCTCCAGAGTCAGAACTAAACATGGTAAAGCAGCGTTCAGTTATTATGCTCCAAATATCTGGAACAAACTCCCAGAAACCTGCAGGTCCGCTGCAACTCTGACTACTTTAAAATC